AAAAAAAAAAAACAAAACAAACAAACAAAAAAAAAAACATACAAAATTAGCCAGGTATGGCGGTACATGCCTGCAATCCCAGCTACTTGGGAGGCTGAGGCAAGAGAATCGATTGAGCCCAGGAGGTGGAGGTTGTGGTGAGCAGAGATCATGCCATTGCACTCCAGCTTGGGTGACAGAGTAAGACTCCATCTCAAAAATGAAAAAAATCATCATCTGGGTCATTTGTTCCTCATGGTCACTGTTGTTAGGCAAACATCCAAGATTCTTGCTTCGGTAAGAGTAAGTCTTTGGTTTCTGATCCTCGCCAAGAGGTTTTGAAAATCCCCCTAATTTTATGGCATAAAAAGATATCCACATTGCCTTTGTGGAAGGCTGCCACCCAGTCATGAAACATCTTCTAGAAAATGTAACATAGTAGAACAAACACTGGATCTGATGTCAGAAAATCTGGATCCTTCTTCTTGTTATGTCACTTATTTAGATACTTTGGGTCATTTGCAACAGGATTCAGGTAACTTATATGCATAATGTAGAGGCCAGTCTAGCTGGAAACTTGATTGTTTCCAGATTATAATGTTCATGACTCTATTTCTGTGCCTCTATAACCAATAAGACAGATTTCTAGACCTTTTTTATTCTATTTGAAAAGCCACATGTTATGGTTTCCTGGACCTTTGTGGCTGTGCTGGGTAGAAGGATATGAAAACAAATAAGCAAAACAAAATAATCAGAATAAAAGGCTGGTTGCAGGTGCTTCTGTTTTACACTTAGACACAGCCTAATTCCAGAAAAGCAGAGTTCACAGTGGTGAGTGTCATGGAAACTGTCTATGAATGTTACAAGACTTGCACATAAACTGAATGCACCATTGCTGGTTAAGGAGATAGAAATGGAGAGGATTTTGTGCAAATGATTTTCTCCTTTTAATTGAAGCACTCCAGTAGCGGAAACCAAACTGAAACTCCCTTAGACATTTAAATGACTCACATATTTCAGTGCTTAAACGTCAGTTCTGTGAATACCTAAAATGGGGCTAAGTGAAAATTGGATAACATTTGCCTGACATTGTCATTGGACTTTCTCTAATGTCAAAGATGGATTTGCATAATTATGCTGAAAGCCAGGAAACTGCACCCAGCAGGAGGTTTCCTTGCTGGTGTTAGGTTTTAGTTCTACTCCAGCTGTGACTCTCAGGATGAAGAAAATCTTTCAGAAATGAACAGACAGAGTGCACACTTTCTAAGACAGTATAGTAACAGCCTAACGACAATTTAACTTGCTTACTGATTTCCAAGGTATAATTAAGATAGGCCTGATAAGTAACTGATTGACTGAACGACCTTTTGCTTGGTATGAAAAGGGCTTCAGAGAGGAGGGTGTCGTGTCCAAGCAATGTTGCCTCATAAACTCTTCCTGATTAAAATTCTTTTAAGCTGGCCAGATGCCTGATAGAAGCAAACGTCTAAAGACTGCCACTGTAACAGGTGTGTGTCTATGGTGCAATCTTGTCTTTCCAAGGTCACTGCAGTCATAAAACATCTCTTGAATGTATCTACAAGGGGAAAATGCTAAAGCAGGTGAGGCCTCTCAGGGTTCCAACTTTTACCCCTTACATGGGGCACTTACTAATCTCAGGCTCTCTTTCTCCATCTGTTTTTCATTTTCAAATCCTGCTGTCACAAAAGAATTTGAACCCCTTAACATACTAGAGAATCACTTCTCTTAGTCTCTCAAGAAATCATCACAACGTTTTTAACTTTCACTTGTAAATGACAACAGGTCTGTTTTGCTATAATTATTTTTTTAAAATATGGAATGCTTCATGAATTTGCATGTCATCCTTGAGCAGGGGCCATGCTAATCTCTGTATCGTTCCAATTTTCATATATGTGCTGCTGAAGCGAGCACTGTTTTCCTATAATTTTCAATAACACCTAAGTACTTGCAATATATTAACAAGAAAAATAATAAGTGTAAAATTCTTAAACTCCTTGAACAAAGCTCCAACAGAAAGTGAACATCCAGATTGCAGTCAACTAACAGAGAGACACATTCCTGAGGACGACTACTAGTCGGCTCACCTGGTACTTGTGAAATCATAGCATTTAGACAGCAATAAGCTTGGTTTTCCAAAGCAATATTTTCAAGCAGACCTAACAATGTATTTCCCATTGAGATTTCACCGCTTACAAAGCCTTATATGCTTGCTGTTCACTCTCCTGTTAATTAAAAGAATTTCCATGCTACCTCTGGGTTTCACTACAGAATTCATCAATATCTAAGATTATTTCATGGAGAAAAGTACAGATGAAACATAGCCCTTTTTCACTCACATGCACTACTTGCTAGGTTCAAATATGATTGTTTCTTTGTTTGCTTTTACTGCTTGTATGGCGCTAATAAGCAGAATCTGTACATGTAGTTCTCCTCTGACCATGTTATCCTGTCTTGCACATATATAAAGAGATAACTTTTGTCAGACTTCAAATGCCAAAGAGCAGAGCATATCTTCCAGCTTATTTCTGGTTTGAGCTGGAGGTCGCAGCTTGTGCAATTTGCTAGACAGCAATTCACCTTGGAACAAGCTCATAAACACTGATTAGGCAGATAGATTGATTCAGAATTTCTGATTTTTTTTAAAGGGCAAGAGAGCAAATGTCTAGTTTCTAAGACAAAAAGGTAGCAGCAGAAAGAAAAGCTACACTCATTTTAACCGAGTACTATTATTATTATTAACACATTGCACTACTATCACGCTTTACAGTTTAAAATGACCTTTTACAGCCATTATCTCATTTGATACACCCACCCTGTGGAACAGATGTTCATTAATATAGGCATTTGACAGATGAAGAAACTCGGGCACAAAAAGTTTAGGGAACTTACCGAAGGTTGTACTGTAAGTTGGTATACATATGTTGCCTTTTGTGCTAGAAAGATAAGGAATGTAGGCATCTGAAGAACTCTCAATTCTATTTTTTCTTTATCTTTTTTTTTCTTAGAAGATTCAGTAATGGTAACATATCAATTGTTTTTTATGAGTCCCAAATTGAGAAGAAAATTCCACAGCAGTGCGCTGCATGCTCATCTTTATTTCAACTAATGTTTTCAGTATGTAAAACGTTGTACAGGAGCAGCACACTTACAGGTTGTTCACTGAAATTGGCATGATGCAAATGTGATGGGTAATGTTCAATAATGAACTAAGGCTCAACATTATCTGCCATTTAATCAATGTGCAGTGTGGCCTAAGCACCAGAAAACATCCAGATTTAAAGCACTAGTTCTCATGGATTTTATGATTGCTTATTTCCTGATAAATTTGGTAAATGAAAATCTGCCCCTCAAGCAAGTCATGGAGTAACTGTTCTCATGGTTTGATTTTTACTAACCATCAGCCAGCCCACTTAACAAATGTCGAACAATAACCAATTGTTGATGTATCTCCCGGACTGTGAGAGATATGTCTCAAAGCTGAGATATCCTGTGATATCTGTTAGGATTAATTTCCAAGATCTAGAGTGGTCATGCTCCCCAATGTCTCTGGAGTGTAGCAACAAATACCAATTACCGAGAATACTGGGATACTTCCAAATCCCCTTTCTACTAATTTTTTTAAAGGAAAAAGCTGAAATGGAAATTATAGCATATTCCATGAAGGCAGTCTTTCAAACATAAAAAAGTGGGAGCTTTGCAGCATTTGTAGCAAAACTTTGCCTTCCTTGGAAATATTTTTAAGATAATTTGATATTCTGTGTTTTAAAAGCTACTTCTGTAGGGAAAAATAAGGTTTAGTCACCAAATTTTATTGTTGAAAAATAGCTACTAAACCTGCCAGCTGAAATGTGTTTACGTGAAAAAGCTGCACTTTGAAGATGGTAATTACCACTTCACATGTTTCCACTGCCACTGTTCAATTCTCATTTTCATAGTTCAAAAAGAAAAGCAGGTTTAAATAATGCAATGCTTATTACCGTATGAATATGGACCTTATTGTCCGTTTTTAACTCTAAGAGTTAATTTGGAATATAGTCTATATAAGTGGTTTAAGAAATGTGCCACTTACGCAATTATGACTAAAAACTTTCATTTTGAAAATTGCAACCTTATCTCATTGTCCTTTCATAGCAATGTCTTTTGTGTTGCCTGTCACTCTGCACTTTCCTTAGAAGATGTTTATAGGAGTATGTGTAGAGTAGTAAAACCAGTGCATTAAATTAGAGCAGAGTTGATCAGTGCCTTGTAGCGCTGTGTAATACTGAACATATGCAAGTTGCATGAAACAAAACCACAACGATAGTTGAAAAATGAAAATAAAAACAAAATGGTTATTTGGCATCAGGTAGACACTGAGATAGCCCCCAGGTTTTTCTTTTAAATTCAGTTTCCTTTTGAACTGGACAAACCTATTCAGGAAGTGACATAGCCTTAAAATGTTCTAGAAGTTTCTCAGAGATTTCTTCAGTGACCTTTCCTAAGACTTGACAAAAAATGCTTCCACCCAACACTGCAAGTTTCTTCTTTCTACCAGCTCAGAAAATGCCTGTCACATTTCAAAACACGTGCTAGTGACCAATGAGATTTTGGTTACATTTGCTTAATGATGATAAACATTCATTTTTAAAACACTGGGCTCATTTATATATGTGATTGCTCAACCTCTTAAAGTGAAAACTCTCTTGAAGAACCAGATTTCCTTTGGACTGTGTATTAACAAATAGTAGTTTGGTTAATTGTGTTTCTTTGGTTGGACTTTTATCCAGAATGACTAATCAAACTGCCATTTCATAGACCATATATATGAATTTCAAAATATCCTTGCTATGCACACTTGATACCACATGCAACCATTTTTAATATACTTGTTCTATGTTATACTGACATCTATGGACCCCATAAGAGAAATTCAGCTTTTTAGAAAAATTCTGTTAGCTGTTTATGAGCAACTTAAAATGTGTCTCAACTATGTAGACTTAGGGTCCTTCAATCTATTGTGTGTGAGTGACTACAGTAGTTGATCTTTGAACTTCATCACTTTTTTCAAAATCATTATAGAGTTATTCTCCCTACCTACAATCAAAACCTAAGAAAGAAGCAATGAGTGACCCTCCCTTAGTAAAGAATTAGAGCCTCTTAAATAAAAGAGTGGTCCTTGGCCGGGCACGGTGGCTCACGCCTGTACTCCCAGCACTTCAGGAGGTGGAGGTGGGTGGATCACCTGAGGTCAGGAGTTCAAGACCAGCCTGGCCAACATGGTAGAACACCATCTCTACTAAAAATACAAAAAGGAAAAAAAAAAATTAGCTGGGTGTGGTGGCGGGTGCCTGTAATCCCAGCTACTTGGGAGGCTGGGGCAGGAGAATCGCTTGAATCTGGGAGGTAGAGGTTGCAGTGAGCCAAGATCACGCCACTGCACTCCAGCCTAGGTAACAAGAGTGAAACTCTGTCTCAAAAAAAAAAAAAAAAAAAAAGGAAAAAAAAGTCTCAAAAAAAAAAAAAAGAAAAAAGAAAAAAAAAAAGAGTGGTCCTTATTGGTGAGACAGTAAGGGGGGTCCTGTCAGTGCACTTGTATCTATTTATAGTATTCATTCAACAAGATTTATTATTATAATTATACTGTATACTGAATACTGCACTAACAACCAGGGGTACAATGATGATATGTATATCTAGAAGTTTCTCAGAGATTTCTTCAGTGACCTTTCCTAAGACTCGACAAAAAATGCTTCCACCCAACACTGCAAGTTTCTTCTTCCTACTGATATATAAAGATATACTGGTCCTGTCCCTCAAAGAATTCCCAATCTAATGGAGGAGACAAAGTACAAAAATATACAATGTACAAGAGAGGACGATAAGTACTATGATAGAGTGTTTTTGTTAGGATAGGCTAAATGCTACAAGAAACCTCAAAATTTCAGTGGTTTAAGTCAGTAAAGTTTTGTTTTTGTTTTTGTTTTGAGATGGACTCTGGCTCTGTCACTAAGCTGGAGTGCAGTGGCACGATCTCAGCTCACTGCAACCTCTGACTCCCTCATTCAAGAGATTCTCCTGCCTCAGCCTTCTGAGTAGCTGGGATTACAGGCATGCGCCACCATGCCCAGGTAATTTTTGTATTTTTAGTAGAGACAGGGTTTCACCATGTTGGCCAGTATGGTCTCTATCTCCTGACCTCATGATCCGCCTGCCTCAGCCTCCCAAAGTGCTGGGATTACAGGTGTGAGTGACCATGCTCAGCCAATATTTTTTTTGCTTATTCGAGTCAAAGTCCAATGTGATCAGTAGGAGCAGAGAAGTATCTAATCCAGCCAATCAATTAAGGACCAAGACTCCTTCAGTCTTATAATGCTATCATCTTCAGTGCATGTTGTCTAAGGTCATTGTGAAGAGGAAAGACAGAGCATGAAGAAAACAAATCCACTCCTACCTGCCTCAGCCCAGAAGAGACACATCACCTGTGCTCACATTCTATAGGGGAGAACCAGTCACAGTGGCCCACTTACACAAAGGGAGACTGGGAAAGGTATTTCAGCTCTATTCCTAAGAAAAAAGGTTTGGTGAACAACTAATGATAACTAGATGTAACTATTAGTAACTAACTTGGTAACTAAACGTAACTAAAGATAACTAGAAAAGCCAAGAAGCAAAAAACAAACAACCAAAATCCTCTGGAATCTAACTTATTTCATGTTAAAATCATAGTGACAACTATAGAAAACTAGAAAAAACAGATGATCATCTTAACTAGTAATTACCTAACTAGATAATCAGGATAACTGGAACAAGCCAAGAAACTCAGATGATATTTTCATCTCAACTCTAATTTCTCATCTCTTGCTTAACTAACTACTGATAACTAGATGTAACTAATGTTGATTATATAATTAATTAGAGATAACTAGAATAAC